ATGCTGGTCGCCATGCTGGCCAATCATAACAGACCTCTGTGAAAGTGAAACCTAAGCAGCGAATGGGCAAAAAACTGGGAGCCGGCTCTCACTCGATGCGAGCCGGCTCTTCTGATTCACTACAAAGAGCCGGCTCTCAGAGCCGATGCTTGTGCGCATGACCCATCACTAGTGTGAGTATCCGCTCTTCATCACTTTCTGCCAAACCCTTTTTGGTGTCGATCACACTAGTTGACTGTCACTCATGTACTGTTTCTACAGTGTTAGTGGATTCCAGTGCCGCAGGGAACTTTATTGACCAGACCCTTGCCTCCTCTCTTAACATCACCTCATACCCGCTCTCCTCTCCTTTCCTGGTTAAAGCCCTCGATAATCGGCCATTAGGTTCCGAGACCATCACACACATCACCAAACCACTCACCCTCACCGTGGAGTCCATCCATCAGGAGAACATTCCTTCATCATCACCAGTGCACCAGCTCACTAGATCATCCTCTGCCTCACTTGGCTTCAATGCCATAACCCCACCATCTCATGGTTGAGGATGAAAATCACATACCGGGCACTCGAATGCCGGAGGACCTGCTTTCCCGCCCCCTGTGGTTCCACGTCGGTTGAGAGTCCTGTGGTTGCCCTTCAGCCCAACATCCCAAAGGTTTACCAGGACCTGCGGGAGGTATTTTCCAAAACCCGCGCCACCTGTCTCCCTCCTCATCGCCCCTGGGACTGTGCCATCGATGTGCTTGCAGGCTCTGTGCCCCCCGCGCAGACGCATCTACCCTCTGTCGGTGGCTGAAACCAAGTCCATGGAGGAATACATCCAGGAGGTGCTCCAACAACGTTTCATCCACATGTACTTCTCCTGCGTCTGCAGGCTTCTGCTTAATGGCCAAGAAGGATTGGACTCAATGAGATCACCACCAAGTACCGTTACCCTCTCCCGTTGGTGCCGGCAGCCATCGAACAGCTCCGCGGGGCCCGGTTCTTTACCAAATTGGACCTGCGGCGTGCACACAATCTCATCCGCATCCTGGAGGGGGATGAATGGAAGACAGCTTTTAGCACGATGTCTGGTCACTACGAGTACTTGGTGATGCAATTTGGCTTAGCCAGTGCTCCGTCAGTGTTCCAGGCATTCGTCAACGAGGTCTTCCGGGACATGCTCGGATGCCAGGTGTTCGTGTATATCGATGACATTCTGGTCTACCCGGCTACCTTGGATGATCACATCGCTCACGTCCGAGTAGTCCTGGAACGCATCCTGGCTAACCAACTATTTGTCAAGGCTGAGAAGTGCCGGTTTCATCAGGAGCCTGTCTCCTTCCTAGGCTACCAAATCAGCCCGCAAGGAGTGAAGATGGAAGTCAAGAAGGTAGATGCGGTCAGGTCATGGCCAGTCTTAACCATCATAAAGGGGTTACAACGTTTTTTGGGGTTTGCCAAAATCTACCACCATTTCATCAGGAACTTTAGGTCCATCGCCACTCCTCTCACCTCTCTCCTCAATGGTGGTCCCCGTAGGTTGGTGTGGAGTCAAGCAGCTGACGAGGCCTTCCGCCCCAGATACCCTTTGCTCAAACCAAATCCCCCCGGCACGCTCCAGCAGGGAAACTCCTTCCCCTTCCCGTGCCTCAGCGTCCCTGGTCTCAATTGGATCTATCCATTGACTTTGTCACTGATCTCCCCTCCTCTGACGGTTTCACCACCATTTTGGTGGTTGTGGATGGATTTCCCAAATCATGTCGTTTCATCCCTCACTCTGGTCTCCCTACTGCTCTCCAGGTTCGCTGAGGCACTATTCCAGCAGGTCTTCCGGCATTATGGCCTTCCGGAGGACATCGTCTCCGACCGTGGCCCCCAATTCACATCACGGGTATGGAGAGCCTTTATGGAGAAGCTCGGGGTCACAGTCAACCTCACTTCCGGGTATAGGCCTCAGTCTAACGGGCAGGTGGAGAGGATGAACCAGGATCTGAGAAGGTTCCTGAGTAGTCACTGCCAGGACCGGCAGGGAGAGTGGGCCCGATTCCTTCCATGGGCGGAGTACGCCCAGAATTCGTTACGTCACTCCTCCACCGGGCTGACTCCCTTCCAGTGTGTTCTGGGTTTTCAGCCGGCCCTGGCTTCTTGACCGGAGCTTCTGCGGTGGATGAGTGATTCAGGCGCGCAGAAGAAATGTGGAGCGAGGCTCACGTGAGACTCCAGCACGCCGTCCACAGTCAGAAGGAGTAGGCAGACCGCCACCGCAGTGAGACTCCCGTGTTTCATCCTGGGGATCGTGTCTGGCTCCTGGGGAACCTCCCACTCCGCCTGCCCTGCAAGAAGCTGAGCCTCCGGTTTGTGGGCCGTTCAAGGTTCTCCGGATGGTCAACGAGGTGACGTATAGGTTACAGCTTCCCAGTGACTACCGTATCTCACCTTCTTTTCATGTCTACCTTCTCAGGCCAGTGGTTCCTGGTACCCTGGCTGAAGCTGTCCCCCACGACACCCCTCCGCCCCCCCCCGGATGTCGAGGGAGGTCCCACCTATGCCGTCAGATCCCTGCTGGACTCCCGACGTCGTGGGGGTCGGCTCCAGTACCTGGTGGACTGGGAGGGGTACAGCCCAGAGGAGCGGTGTTGGGTTCCGGTGGAGGACATTCTGGATCCCAACATCATCCGTGATTTCCATCTTCGCCGCCCGGACCGGCCCGCTCCTCATCCTCGGGGCCGTCCCTCTGGCCGGTTTACTAACCACCGGTCCTGGTAACCATCATTAAGCGCACCTGGCATTAATCATTACGCGCACCTGAGCTTCATCATGAGGCACACCTGGACTCCATTACTTCACTCGTCACCTCCCCTTTACCTGGCACTCCCTTAGGTTCTTTCCCCAGACAGTATTGTTTCTGTGTTTCATGTCAAGACGCTCCTCCTATGTTGTATCCTTCCATGTTCTTTGTTTTATTAAACTTACCACCTGCACCTGCTTCTCGACTCCCAGCGTCTACGTTACACCCTCCCTTAATGGCTTAAGACTTGCCATGAGATGATGAATGAGAATCTAAGAGCAATGCCTATTGCAGTCAGGAAGTATGGAATTTATGTAAAGGAATATACTGTATGTTGCTTGTATTGTTTGTTATGCAATCATCCTGTTTGCTCACATTGTTCCATGTTTGTGCAACAAATCTCTCCTGTTTCACATTGTCTTGTGTCTTCCCCAGCTCGTAGAAACAAAATATGTGTTGTCGTCGTCGTCCCCACCCCCCCCCCCCCTTGACAGCAGAGAGAACAATGTATGTTTTAAAGTTAATTTCATGCAATTCTACACATTTTGCCATGGGGCGTAGAGAAAATGTTGCAGTTGAATAGCAAGTTTAGTGCAGTTCTATACATTTTGCCATGGGACAGAGATATTTTTTTTTTTTTTCAGTTTTAAAGATAATTTCCTGTAACTACACATTTTGCCATAACTTATGCCATGTTAATGATATCTGAGTGATATAATTTTTTTTTTTAGCAGACTTGGCTAATTGAGTGACTGTCAGTGACTGACAAAACAAGAGAAACTGCTGATGCACAACCCTGTGTATTCTACTATTCTAACTCTCAACTCTCGGGGGCCCTAATCGACCGCTTATATTGCTTATGCCTGGAACCGGTCCTGGATTCTGTGATGCGTGCTTCCTATGCAGAGGTAGCTTGGACTGGATCAGTATGTGCTATTGTACTTTAACCCCCTTCTTGTGTCATGTACCCTATGATATGCCATCGATAGTCAGAAGAGTTGGCTAAAGCACACTGTACAAATGTGGACCAGGATAACGAGAACGGAACCAAATCGTGGAGCATTGACATCAACAGGACAAAGACTTTCTGATCAGGTCACAACTTGCTTTATTTTCATTTCAAACCTATGGGATGCATACTGCGAAACTACTCCAGGCTTTGCTACATATCAACTACCAACATCACAATAGTTCAAAAAGCGTTTTTGACAAGATAAAAAAAGAAAATGGTAACGGAACAAAACTCTGCAGAGAGGCTCATCTAAAAATGTTTCTAAACATTGCAGAAACCAGAGTTTTGGCAAAGACAGTGATATACACAATGTTCCACATTATCTCCAAGTCTTGGGTATTTATCCTTAGCAGTAGGCCCACATATTCATGTTGTGTACAGTGGCTGGACTGTCTGCTAAAGCGAAATGTAACTGCCAATAAAGGTCACTCTTTTCCCAAGAAAAATAGTAAAAATATCATGAAACCTAGCTACAACAATGCACACAAATAAACTAGCATGAATGCACTGGGCTTTATACAGCTTGGCTCAATAAGGAAAGTAGGACATACAGTACAGTACATTAAAGAGTGTTCCGTCATCAAACCGTCATGATAGAGAATACTTAGCTAGCTTTGCTCAGATAATTCAGGGCATCTACTGTATATTGGTGTTCATGTTTAACTTCCATAGACGTACAAATAGGTACTAATTTGGGAAAACCCTTTCTATAAGAATGTATTACAGTACGAGTATGCACCAAATGACATGGATATGCCTGGACTTGAATCAGAAACATGTTCCTAGGGTTTATCACAACATGACTTTGACTACAGGAGGCCGAGCAGACGCACCAAAAATGACGTTTGACTCACTCAGTTAGTAGCAGCTCAGAAAAGCATATACTCTGGAGTGGATTTCAACATTGACTCGTGCCTTTGTACAAACAGTTGATTGATATCAAATACAAAATAGCAATAACAAGTAAAAAAATAAATAATGATAAATAATTAATTAATAAATAGACGGATGAGACATGAAAAGAAAACAGACAGCCGAGACAGAAGGGAGGAGAGTCAGAGATTTGGGTGTTGGGTGGATGAGCTGGGGCGGGCAGGTGGGCGTGAGAGTACTCTGAGCCTAGCGAGACACTGGAGAACGACAGACACTCCCTGTTAAAAGCTTGTCATGGAGACGGGCAGACGAGGTGGGGTTGGTGGGAGGGTTGGGCAGGCATACTCAGTGCCCGTCCGTGTTGGGCGGCTTGGGGTCGTGCGGAGCAGCGCCAGCGGGAAGCCAGGGAGAGACGGAGCGGGAGGTGGTCTGCTTGGCCATGCTGTAGTGGCTGATCACCGTATAGAAGCGCCCTCGGGAGTTGGCATCCTGAGCCGTGTAGTAGGCCTCCAGAGAGGCAGGGATGCATCGCTTATGCTGCAGGGGGAGAGAGAGAGAGAGAGGGGGGGGGGGGGGGGTTCAATAACATACTCTACTCACGTACAGACTGCTGCACAACACTAAGGGCTTTTTCTGGTGAAGAGGTTATTTTTTGCTCTGGAAAGCACAGTGGCTGTGTCTAAAATTAGATTTACTTCAGCGAACATGTAGTCCACAGCAACAACCTCCAAATGTGACTGTACAGACGATTAGCCAGTGTAGTTTTAAGGCTTTGTCACAAATAGCACCCTATTCCCTATACAGTGCACTACTTTTGACCAGAGCCCATAGGTAATAGGGTGCCATTTGCTACACACATAAGAGGGCCCACTCACCTTGTATATGAATCCGTCTGGGCAGCTGTGTTCGTAGGTGAAGGCCTTGTACACCACCAGGAACACTATGCAGGCCAGGAACGCCAAGGCCAGGACTATCAGGATCGTGACCTGGTAATGAAAGATGACAAACACTCCGGTCAATTTAATAGCTGCCGACAATGTCAGGTCTCTTGTCAAAGCGAAGGTCTCGAAGCAAGGTTTGACACCATAAAATCAGTGTATGTTCAAAAGAGCACTCGACAACTAACAACCAAAATAACTTCGATCACAATACATTTTTAACCATCACTTGTCTGGTGACAAGGTGAGAGAAAACAAGTGAATATGCATTAGGGTTTTGACGAAACCAGTATCACACTATTTTTTGCATGATAACAATTACAGCACGAAGCAGACCAAACTATTTGGTCCTTTAATAACCTGCTGTATTTGGATAGTCCATCTGTAGATGCTCTACAGACTATCCCTATCCCTAGCTCTAACCCTGACCTTAACCCTTATCCTAACCCTAAACCTAACCCAAACCCTAACTTTAGCAAGCAGTTGCTTTACAACACATAGTTTGTTGATAGTATCTGTAGAGAGTATAGTATCTGTCCCGACTATCGAAATAAAGTGTGACCAAATATTGTGAGCTATAGCTTGGAAAATAAATACATGTGAATCTGGATGACAACATATTGATGTTTGTTTCGAACATTAGGGCTGTTTTCCTAAAGAAGGTAAATACGCTTCGTGTTTTGTTTCCTTGCCACGATACTAACGAGTATCGCGATACTGGTATTGTCCCGGCATGTTAATAACTCATCATAATTAGCTCTAGAAGTTTCCATCTGAGTAGTGAGGTAGACAGAGAAAGCTCAAAATGTGTTCATTGGCTGCCAGATTAAGCCCAGTGGAGACAAACAGATTCAATAAAAACCTTCACTAATTGAATTTTTCACAACTCAGCACCCATATTTGTCACAAAATGCAGTTGATGCAGACAGAGGCTAGAAAAAAATTGCTTGGTGTGGAAATGAGTGCAATGGAGAAGTGTGAAACTGTTTTGAGCATCGCTAATTTATTCCCATCACAAACCACGTCCCTAAAAACGACGTAATCCAATATGTCAGTATACATTACTTTCAATAGAGTGATTCATACGTCTTGATGTTGAAATTTGGTGCTTCAAATGTGTATTTCCCTGGTAGATCAGACCCTGTTACTCCTGAATATATGATTGGCTACTTTGGAGCACCGGTTCATTACAATTATGCAAATGTAGGTAAAGGACAGCTGAAAGAAGTAAGAATGATTTTGTCATCTGAAGACTTGTGAAAGAGGAGTGAAAGAACGCGTGCACACACCAAAACTCGATGATAATATACATTTGGTGGTAGTACAGAAAAACTCTGTTTTACCACAGTGTCAAATCAAGTGACTGAAGTGCTATTTTCATCTTCAGTTTCACAATGAATCATATTGCACCATAAAACCATTTCCCTGTTTCCAACGGCCTCCCTCCCTATCGGCCATCACACCGCGTCGGCAGGATGCTAGGCTAGGGTAATTACAGCTGCGTGCTGATTAGCAGAGATCAGGTGATTTGTAGCCTCCTGTAGCTCAGTTGGTAGAGCATGGCGCTTGCAACGCCAGGGTTGTGGGTTTGATTCCCACAGGGGGCCAGTGTGAAAAATGTATGCACTCACTAACTGTAAGTCCCTCTGGATAAGAGCGTCTGCTAAATGACTAAAATGTAAATGTAAAGATGGGAGCACAGAGGCTAAATGACTGTTGACTTGTGTGTTAATGTGAGGACACATTCTTGGTTCTGTCTGACGGTTTGTTAAATTACATTCGCTTATCACAAACCCTAAACATGTGAAATGGCTGCTTAAAGGGCTTTTAGGCTCACATAGAATTAATTACACATCTACTGTCGCTATCTACTATTTTGCATCTTACATTCGATTTTAAAGCATAAT